AAAAAAAAAAAAAAAGAAATCAGAAATGTACTCTGGCTTCTCACATTATTTATTTTGGTCCTTCTGTCTTTTAAGTTTTTCAAGTTGTGATTGACTTTTGAATATCCTTCTACAGTAACTCATAAGTTACAGTAACTCATAAGTTCTTTACTCACAGTATTTTGTTAACATCCATTCTCTTATTTAATATATTCTGTACACTAAATTCAGAATTTTTTTAGGCCTAATGCAACTCCTTCAATTCAGGATTGAAATAATCTCCTAAACAATGCACAAGCCTCATATTCTGTCTCCTATCCCTCTGTTTCGTTGATGAACTTCTGGTCTTCAAGAGGAAGAAGTCCAAACATCATCTCTGCACACTTCACATTGCTGCTGTATACTCCTCTGCATGTTTTCATGCTCTGTGTTAGGTCTATATCATAGCACATTATATGTAAATAGGATTTGACACATAAGCTCATGTCTATATGCTTATTGAGTAAGGAATATATATTCAATTCAAATTAAGTGTTGAAATTATTTCTTTTTTGCTTTCTGGAATAAAGATGTATGTAATTTGTGGCAAGTACTTTTATATACTGGAAGCTGCAGTTCTACTTAGCTTTGTGAACATTCACCCATGCTACTTCCTTCTATAAGCTATTATGTTTATCCAGAATCATTGTCAGTCTTAGCTCCTTGTATTTTTTTCTCCTTTGTTCTTAACTATTTGATCTAGAGTGGGAAACCTTGGTAAATCTATAAATCTGTATCCTGGCCATTGTTTTTGGGAATCTCATGAATGGGGCCTTTGATTGGAGACTGACTTGAAGAAATAATTTTCCATTTACTAAAGTTCCATGTTACTGGACCTATCAGTTTCATCCTTTTTATCTGTTTTGTTGTTTTCAGGTAATCATCTATTTCTATTTCTTTATATTCGATCAGTTATTTTATAAATTAATTTCTTTTAATTACCTTTAAATGCAGTTTGGGCTTGTTGTACATTTTTTATATTGCTAATTCTTTGCTGTAATGTCATGTCTGCTTAGTTTGGCCAGAAAAGTTGTGCATATGTACATAAACATATGTAATGCTTATATGTAATGTTTATATATGTTTATATGTAATGTTTATAAACTGTTCTGTTTCTTCAGCCCTGGGCATTTAGAATTTTAGGACTGAAGATTAAGTATCTAACTACACCAAAGAAAGCACATTCTTTTTAATTGATTTAATCTGATTTATAGTAGGAATGAACATCCTCCTCCTTTCCCTCCTTCTTTTCCTTCTCCCCCTATGACACTACTGTTTTTCTTCCTGAAGTCCAGGGGCAAAGTTTGAGAGCTGAAGAATCCTGTTGATATGAGTTCCACGGGTTAATGTTGTATCCCAGCATCCAGAAAAGTATGTTCCTCTCAATACTTGGGACATACTTAGACTTAAAAAAGTTTATCTGGCTGGCTACTGGTGGCTCATGCCTGTAATCCTAGCTACTCAGCAGGCTGATATCTGAAGATCATAGTTTGAAGCCAGTCTAGCCAGAAAAGACCCCATGAGACTCCTATCTCTAATCAACCACTCAAAAACTGGAAGTGGTGCTGTGGCTTAAGTGGTAAAATGCTAGCCTTGAGCACAAAAAGGCTCAAGGACAGTGACCAGGCCCTGAGTTCAAGCCCCAAGCCCCACAACCAACAACAACAATAAAAAGTTTATCTGGAAATTCAAATTTAATGGGGTATTCTCCCTTTTTTTCTGACAGTTTTATATAGGGAAGGATAACACCCCACCTTCCCTATTTCTCACTACCATTTTCTAAGAATTAACACAGAAGGCTTTTGTTTGAGTTATATTAAAAACATATTTAGTGTACACCATGCTTTCTTTCTTTTTTTTTTTTTTTTGCCGATCATGGGACCTGAATCTGGGCCTGGGCACTGTCCCTCAGCTCTTCAGCTCAAGGCTAGCACTCTACCACTTGAGCCACAGTGCCCACTTTTGGCTTTTTCTGTGTATGTGGTGCTGAGGAATCAAACCCATGGCCTCATGCATGCAAGGTACACCATGCTTTCTCCAGAGAGCTAGCATTAAGACTTTGCAGTATCTATTTTTAGGGGGCCTGGATCTATTTATTGTTATTATATTTCCTTGGGATAACATCTGAATTACAAGGTCATAACTTTTTCAGTTTTCAAATTGCTTTTAAATGAGCTGTGGAAAAAAGAATACAAAAAGATATAGTTTAAAGATGGTATTGCCAACTTAGATCAAATTTTATTCTTGCTGAACCAAACATGATGATCCTGCAGCTACACATAGTAAGATTCTAGTTTTATTCATGCTGAGAATGAAAATAAGTTTCCCATTATGAGTCTGGATGGAACCCTAAATGAACACTGTAATCACTATTGTCAATTATAGACAGATACAGTTTGCAAAATAAATAAATAGGTAGGTATCCTTATCACAGACCCTCCCCCCCCC